AGAAAGTACATAAAGACCATTTTCAGAATGTACGATATCATACAAAACATTATCGAGATAAAACGAACATTCATTGTCTTTTACTCGAAATTCAAAACCTTTGGCGTCCAATGACTAAATTGAAATGATGTTTTTGGTAATGTTGGGAAAATTGTAACAACTATAAAGTTCTAAAAAAATCCCAGAGGGCAAAGACAAACAGAGAGTTCCAACGGATACGGCTGCAATTCTGGCTTCATTGCCGACCCGGAGTTCAACCTCTCCCTTCTCTAGCTTCCTAACGTTCCTTAGTCCTTAAGAATTGGAACAAAGGTGTGATCCACATCCGGTATCTAATACCCATGATGTTGAGCTAGTGAAGTTTAAGTCTAAACAAATATACCTGATTTAAAAGCAACAGTTCCTTTCTTCTTATCTTCCTTGAATTTGAGGCAATCTCTCTTCTAATGTCCCTTCTTCTTAAAATAGAAGCATTCGGAATCAGATTTATAAGATGCTACCTTCTTTTCCTTGTTGTACTTGGTAGCTTTCGGCTTAGGCGGAAAGTTCTTCTTACCTTTCCCCTTGAAGCCTTTCTTCTTTTTGCCCATGTGCTTGAACGTCTTGCCCTTTTTCACCATGAGCATATAATGTTTTCCCTCATCCTTGACCGTTTGCTCGGCTTGCTTCAACATACCATGAACTCAGTTAGGGTTTTCATCATGATGTGCATATAATTGTTCGTCTTGAACTGATCATAGCCTTTGTGCAGCGAGTGGAGAATGATGTCAATTTCCATCTCGGTTGAATACCCCACATCAAGCCTACCCATGTTCTCACATAATCCTATCATTTTGAGTACATGTGGGCTGACTGACTCTCCTTTCTTGAGCTTGCTCTCAAGAATCTGTCTGTGGGTTTCAAACCTTCCGTTTGGGCCTGCTCTTGGAACATATTCTGCAGCTCAAAAATTATCTCAAAAGCTGTCTCCTTTTCAAAAAAAGTCTTTTGAAGCTCTGGAGACATTGTAGCCAACATGATGCATTTGACATCCTGATTGGCACTTTGCCATCAGTTTAGGGCAGCCTGAGTCACATCCTCATTAGGAGTATCAGGCATTTCCTCATCAAGCACATATTCCTTTTGCTCTTGCATGACAAAAATTCACAAATTTCTTTGCCAATCAAGAAAATTTGGCCCACTCAACTTCTCCTTGTCGAGAATTGAGCGTAATGAAAACTGGTTGTTTTAGTTACTCAAAGACATGATTCTACATAAAAGAATTTTAATGAACCATTCATAATACTTAAATAAGATTGAATTTTAATTCATGCATATTTCAAATTTATTTAACGTCTTATTCACACTTAAAAATTGTCCCCTTTTAGTGAAAATAAGTCGATTCCAAGATCCAAGGAAACAAAGAGTGGCTAAGCATGCTTTGGCTTGTCTTAGCACTCAATCTCCCAAGGTAAGCAACGCTTTGCTAATGGCTCCAAGCCACTCTTGGTTAAATAAATCGTCGCATTTGATGCTCTCTTAATAATTTATTAACTTTGCCACGACATGTTAGGACTCCATCACTCATATCGTTGAGTACAACCAAAACCAACTTGCATACCCGGTATGCCTTATGAGTCTAGGTAGTAGTAGTGATGCCTCTCTTTGGCGTAGCCCATCACTACTCTCAATAGGTCGATAACTGTTGTTTTGGAATGACAATTTTACTCAATATTTAGGGACCTAGGGTTTCTATGTTGGTTGATTTAAGTGAACTTAATTAATCATCGCAACATTTGAAATCCTAAACATGCATCTAAAATACAATTCATATATAAATGATCATAAATATATAAAGCATAAGCATCTTGATGCATATTGCCAACTAGCATGACCCCTTGAATTCTTCAAGTCTCCAAAAGGTCTTCTTTTGCAACTTCATGGCTTTGTCTTCCAAGAACCTTCGTCTTCAAGACTTGACCAAAATTATGCAACTACTAGTATCTACGATTAGGACTAATCTAAATATTAAGGTACAAAAATACTCAACGGTACGCAGACCGTATTTAGATTTACAAAAATACATCACAGATTGCAATCCGTATTTTCTATCTTAATCGGGCTCCACTAGTTGCCATTTTTATAAAACCTGTGAGAGAATATACATTCCATTCATCCATTAACTATTTGTGAATGGCCCATGCATTTCACAACAATAAACAAGTAGCAATGCATAAACACTCGATAACTAGTAACTAATCTAGGTGGTTAATCCAATTTACACGCATAATTAAAACTAGTCAAAGTTGTTTCAACTGATTATGTAAATAAGCACAATTAATATTTGAATCTCCCACTAAATTCCGCATTCATCTTAATTAATCCAATTAATTAAGCCGATAAAACCCAATTATTTGCCAAAATAAAATTTTGCAAATGCCGCTCATAAAAACCGAGGCCTAGCCTCCAAAATTTTAATTAAAATAAACAAATTTAATTAAAATAAATAAAACGTCTAAAACGCAAAGTAATAATATCGCCTTAAAACCGTGGTATATGTGCTAATTAAAGGAAGGTGCGCAGAGCCGTGACCCATGCTAAGCGTCACACCCATAGCTTAGAATACTGCATATGCGTCGACTCTTCTATGAGGCGTGCAAGAACACAAGCCACGAGGCCGCACAAGCTTGCTAGCTATGCGCACCATGCCGCAAGCCTAGCAGCACTTCCCCCGCACACCACTGCCGCACTAAGCCGCACACGAGCAGCAAGCCCGCACCAAGCAGCTGCTAGCGCGTACAACAATGCTGTTGCGGCACGTTGCTGCTTTGGCAGTGCTACTTGCTGCCTCGGACGCACCAGCCACGCACCATCATTGGCGCGCACCAAGCACCAGCCCTTGGCAGCCACATGCGCACCAAGCCGAAGGGTGTTGTCTTAGTTTGCGTGCCATACTCTCGGGTTTTTCAAGCCGAGTTTCGCATGACTTATAAATTAATTATAAATTATTGTTAGAACTAATGTAATGTGCAAAATGAAAATTAAGCAAGTCTTACTCAAATAAAATCCATCCAAGTGCACTCAACCAAAATTATTTCCAAGAACCATTCTTTAATAAAATTGGTTTAACTTGGTGCAACAAAAAAAAGAGGGCAATTACTCACTATTAATTTAATCAATTTAAATTAATCTTGAGATTTTTACAAAATAAAAGGGAGTTGGAAAAATGAACATAAGTTCAATAAAGATTCCAACTTTAATACTTGTGAATCCTTGAAAAATTATATCTTCCAATATGAAGATAAACAAATTTCTAACACAAGTTTCAAACTTTATGATTCCAATCAACTAAAAAATGATTAAATCAACAAAGTTCAACAAAATTCACGGAATTTAGTAACTCAAAGTTTCAATAACTTAACATAATTAAAGATTGAATCTTAGTAATTAGAAGCCTCAAAGAACAAAAATTTCATACTTGATGCAATTAATTTGCAATTATGTGAAAAATAAAATCATGCTTTCAAACACAAATTACCACCAAGTAATCATGCCTAAAGAGGTTTAAAATTGCATATAAAATATGTATTGAACCAATTACATAACCACCATAAATATGCAATTAATTTTTAAGGTTAGAAAGACTTAAAATATTTCGTAAACACGAAAGTGTAGACACCTACTTTTGGCCTCTTGTCCCGAAAGGAAGTGCGATGATGTTACAAAAATTCGTTCTTCATCTTAGATCAAAGTTGAAATGTTTATGGACTATGAAAAGCATTATGAAGTAAGGTAAAACCCATATTTGAGACCAAGTTATCTTATAGCCTTGTTTGATTACTATTTAGGCCTAAAACGTGTTCATACATGTTTAAACTTGATTTATAACGGACCCAAATTCGTTAAATGCAATGATTGGATCCAATGGAACCTACATTGTTGAAAACCGAGCCAAATAGATAACCCAACAATAAAATTCTCGTGCAAGCCTATACAAATGGATAGCCCTTTTAAAGAGCTTTCCAACAGCATATTATAAGCCCAATTCCAAGCCAAAACGAAAAAGTTATGATCAAAACACTAAACCGGGTCCTAAAACCGACACCCGTGCACGGCTATAACTTTTGATCCATAACATATTTTAACCTTATTCTAACGGCGTTGGAAAGTAAACATTCAGATCTTTCGAATGATATCTCAAACGCCTTAATCCGACTCCGCAATCAAAAGTTAAGGAAGTTTTAAAAACGCGTTTTCGTATAAGGCAAACCGCAAACCAGCGCAACTCAATCAGTTGCGCGCACCTTGCGCGCGCAACTCATTGAGATGCGCGCGGAACCCAGCGTGACTCAAAGAGTTGCGCGCGCCACTTGACGGCGCGGCTCTAAAATCCTAAACCTAGATCCTTACGCCTATAAATAGGGGTCTTCGTTCAGCATTACGAGGACCGAAAAACTCAGAATGAAAACCCTATTATTCTCAAAACCCTAATTTCTCAACTTCTCTTACTATCATACTTCTTTTTCTTCTCTCTTCCCAAACACTTTTATGTGCTTATGTGAATACATGAATATGTGCTTCGTGTCTAACCTAACTAATTCCAACTTGTTACCTAGAAATGTAATTAAAAAAATTCGCAAACATTATGGTTCGACCAAAAAAAAAAAAATGTCGAACCTACCAGGTGGCACGCGCAACCGTAAAAGTTATGCGCACCCTCCAAGCGCAAGTTCTGAAGTTGCGCGCGGCACCTCTGTGCAACTCTGTGTCATGCACGCGCCCATTGTTCAACGTTGACTTTGACTCGTTACGAGCAATATCATACGGAGAAAACGATATTACCGCTTCAAGGTTAATCGTTAAGTAGGTGCTCAAAATATGTCTTTGGCTAACCACGTTGTCTAACTTAGTTACCTTTACTTTGATCGTCGTTTTCGTTTTTTTCAAAAAAAAAAAAAATAAATTTGAAAAAAAAAATGTTTTTTATCAATCCTTTTGTGTTTTTGGAAAAAAAAAATAAAAATAAAATAAAATGTTTTTTTACCGTTCTTTTTGCGTTTTCGCCAAAAAAAAAAAAAAACCGCATGTGGCAGATTCTACTCTTGAAGTTGCACTTTCCACCTTAGCGCAAGACGGAAAATTGCGCGCGATACTATTTTTTATTATGATGATTCGTTTACGTACTTTATAATCAAGCTAATGACAATACTTCTTAGGAAAATTTGTAATTATTAATTCAACCTTTTGGCCGTCCGCTTTTATTACGTCAACCTTTTGATTATTTTTAAACACGTCAACCTTGTACTACTATTAATTTATATTACGTTTATTTACTGATTACCTGTTAAACCCTTCACATTTTTTGAACTTATGAGATAGAAAATCTGACTTGGCATTTAAACCCCTACAAAAATTAAAAATTATCACTTAATATTGCCAACTCATCAACACTATACTCCAATTTTAATTAAAAAAAAGACCTAGTACTATTATACTCCAAATTTCTAAATTCACGATCCTCCTTTTCACCATGTTCCTTTCATCATCATACTACTACTCTCCATTAAACACAATACTATTCAATTCTTCCTTTAATTTTCCTTCATTCCTTTAATCACCTTATATTCATCTTTTATCTTTAAACTCCATTAAAACACACTCCATATTCCAAGTGGTGCGTGCCGTAGAAGACGTTTCGAGCATAATTGGAAAAATTTAAGGTTAGTTTGCGAAATTAAATCTCCTAATTTGTGTGTTTAATGTGTAATTGGTGTAGTTGATAGAATTTATGGTGATTGCTTAATTAAATTGCAAAATTTGGGAATTATCTAGGGATTTTTAAAATTGGGGGAAAATTGGGAATTAGGGATTATGACTATGTGATTGTAATTAGTGATGTGAAATTAAAGGGAATTAAACCAAGTAATTTTAATTGTGTGTTAATTTTTATTTAATCAATCTAATATTGAATCATATAAATATCAATTTAGGTGAAAATGGTGGACCAATTGTTTGATACTGTGACATTAAGATTTTGGCATGGTGGTCAGTTTAAAGTGATAGATGATGGGCAATTGGTGTATTTTGGAGGAGATAGTAAAACATTTGACCTTGATCCTGATGAGATGAGTTATTTTGATGTGGTTGACTTGGCTAAGAAGAGTGGTGGTTACAACAATGTTGATGAAATTTTATACTTAATGCCTGGGTTGAAATTGGAAGATGGGTTAAGGAAAATTTTTAGTGATACCGAAGTTGTGGAAATGGCAAAGTTAGCTGTGAAATTCAAGGTTGTAAATGTGTATGTTGTGCATTTATTTGTGGACTTGAATATGGCCTCCAGTCATACAGAAAATGGTCCCCCCAAAACACAACCATCTAAAGCATCTTCTTCTACCTTAACTTTTAAAAAATTAATACCAGAAAGGGTCCCACTTGATGCTGTAAAGAGGACCTCCCCCCCAAAAAAGACTCCAGACCAACAAAAAAATAGTGTGGAAACATCTGTCGATAAATGCTAAAAGCAACCCTCCACATGCTCTCAAAAAATACAACATCCACCCTTATCTACTTCTACTAAACCAAGTCTCACATCAGAAGCTCAAAATCCTACATATTCAAATTTTTCCAAATCAACCCTTCGTCAAGTAGATACTTCAATTGATGATTATGATTGGACAGATCATAGGCCAGACAGTCCTTTAGGTTGGGATGCTCTGGTTAGTGATATAAGTGAGAGCACTAAATCATATGTGCCTTATGAACCTGATGAAGATTTTGTTGGAAGTGATGAAGAAGTTTTCTATGATTATGATATAGATGAAGAGAATGAAGGGATTTATGGGGGTTTAGAGGAAGTAGAAGAGCAGTTTGTTGATGGCATACTTGATAATGAGAGTGATAATAGTGATGATGAGTACAAGGATGTTGTAAATAAAGTGAAGGTGGTGAACTCTAAACTAGTTGATGTTGCTTTGCAACTCCAGAAGGAGGCAGCTGAATGTAAGCTTAGTTCACAAAATAATGAACAAGAAGATCAAGGGAATGAGGTTGCAAGTGAAGTTGATGGTGAAGGTAATGACTCCGAGTACTTTGACAGTGAGGATGACATACATACTCCACCAGAGAGTGATAATGAGGACAGATCTGAAAGAAGATCAAGAAGGGGGATGTTAGTGAATTCTGAAACTGACTTCAAGGGGTTTAAGTGGAAGGTCGGGTTAAGGTTTCCTAGTAGGGAAGCATTTAAAGAGGTTGTGGCTAAGTTATCTATATTGAATGGTAGGAATTTATTTATAAGGATCAGCTCTACGAAAAGGAGACAAGAATTAGGTTATAAGTGTGTGCCTAACTGTCCATTTTATCTTTATGGTTCTTGGCATTCTCATAAAGCTAGTTTCATAGTGAGGGTTGTGAGGGATAAACATACCTGTAACAGAGATATGAAAAAGAATAGACAACTTAAGTCTACATGGGTGGCCAAGCAATTGTTAGAGGTGTTTAAGGCTAGGCTAGTGTTGGTGACCAGAGATTTTGCATACAAGATTAAATATGCAACTCACAAGTTGTTGCATGGATCTATGAGAGATCATTATAGTAAGATTGGGAGGTATAGAGAGGCATTGCAGTTGGCTAGTCCTGGATCTGTGTTAGAGATTGTGTGTGGTGGAAATAAACAAACCGATCCCCCTGTGTTCCAGAGATTTTTCACATGTTTCGAGGGTCTTAAGAAAGGGTGGAAGGATGGGTGTAGGCCTATCATTTGTGTGGATGCTGCCTTCTTAAAGACTTTTCTTGGTGGTTAAATAATAAGTGCAGTTGGTAGGGACGGAAATGAGCAAATGTTTCCCATAGCTTAGGCCGCAGTTGAAGGAGAAAATAATCTTTCATGGGAATGGTTTTTCAACCATCTTAAAGCTTGCCTCCAACTAGGAGATGGCACTGGAATTTACATAATTTCTGATGAACACATTGTAAGTAATTTTTTTTTCTCTAGTTTTATTTATTTCATGTTTAAGCATGCATATGTTTCACTACTTAACTTACATTTTGTGATTTTCTATGTGAAGGCTATATTGAATGCTGTTAGCACTGTATTTCCTAAGGCTGAACATAGGCATTGTGCAAGACACATTTTTGCACATTGGCACAAAGCATATAAAGGGGATGAGATGAAATTGTTATTTTGGAAGGTTGCTAAATCCTACAATGAAGCTGATTATAATGATTCACTAAAAGAATTGAGTGATGCAAACGAAGAAGCTGCTAAGGCCTTTACTACATACAAACCAGAGTTATTTTGTAGAGCTTTCTTATCCACTACCATGAGGTCAGATGCTATTACCAATAATATGGCAGAGACTTTTAATGGATATATAATTAATGCTAGAACTAAGCATTTGGTTTATATGTTAGAGGATATAAGGGTAGCATTAATGGAAAGATTAGTTTCTAAAACAAAGTATATGGAGAAGCAAACCTCAACCCTTTGCCCTAGAATTCAAGCTATATTAGAGAAAGAAAAGACCAAGGCAGCTTGTTATGATGTTTCACCTTCCACAAACACTCTGTTCAATGTTAGGCATAACTTAGATCAGCTTAATGTAGACTTAGAAGCTAAGACTTGTACATGTAGAAAGTGGGAGATGACAGGAGTACCTTGTTGTCATGTTGTCGCATGTATTTTCTTCTTACATAAACAACCTGAGGATTATGCAGACCACTGGTTTACGAGGGAGGATTATTTGAGATCATATGCAGGAAACATACCACCTTGTGCTGGGGAGAGGCATTGGCCAAAAGTGAACATGAGGTTAGGCCCCCCTGCAATCAAGGTGGGACCAGGAAGGCCAAGAAAAAACAGGATAAAAGATCTATTTGAGGATAAAAAGAAACCTGGGACTTTAAGAAGACATGGGATGGAGATGACTTGTAGTTTGTGTAAGGTCAAGGGGCATAACAAAAGAAAATTCCCTAATGGCGGTCAAATTGGAAGTGAGGTGACAGAACCAGCACCTAAGAAAGTCAAGGGAAGGCCTAAGAAGAGCACTACAACATCTTTGAGTCAGGTTGCATCCACATGTACACCTCAGGCACAACCTACTCCAGAGCACTTCACCACTACCGCACACCCCGCTCAGATTGGTAGAGGTGGGAGAATGATTTTAGGTGGCCAAGGATCAAAGGGAAGAGGAACTGGAAGGGGAAGAGCTACAACTAAACAAGGTGAAGGTCAGACTCAAGCTTTTCAAAGCAAAGGAAAGGGAAGGGGTCGAGGTCGAGGCTCCACACAAGTATGATATCTTCATCATTTGTAAGTTATTGTTATAGTTCAGACCACCATCTAATAACAACGTAATTTGTTCATTTTCAGGTCATTCCAAGTGGAGTTGGTGTGTTTATTACAGAAGATGGAACTCCCATGACCAATGTAAGCTTTTTCTCATTAATGTTATTCACACTATGCTCTAGTTTGTTCTAATTACATTTGACATATCTGTTTTTTTTTCTCTTTTTTTTGGTTTTTATTTGCAGGCAAGTGGTAGAAGAGGCTCCGGAAGGGTTCTGACTAGTCAATCAAGTCAAGTTTGATCAAGATGCTTCTGTTATTGAATTTATCTATGTACTAGACTAATTTAAGTTATTTGATGGACTTGAGTATGTAATACACTTAAGAGATGTATTTAAGAGTATGCTTCTGACCCTTTCTTTGTGAGAAATCATAGTTTTAGATTATTATTAATATATTATATACAATGAAGCTTAGCAAGAGATTGAATGAAAAAAAAAAGAAAAAAAAGGTCCAAGGTAGGATTGAAGAAGGCACATACGTGCCACATTAAGGCTCAAAATTATTCTTTGTTAGATTCGGGTATACAAATGCGTTCATTGTATTAAAGAAGAAAAAAAAAACGTCATTCGTCTTTTTTTTGAAAAAAAAAATATCAGATGTAAAAAAAATGATGTTACAAGGTTAACGTATTAAAAAAATAATCAGAAGGATGACGTAATAAAAGCAAAGAATCAAAAGATTGACTTATTATTTACATAATTTTCAATTTTGGAAAATTACATCAGCATTTTTACCTCCACCTAATACTCCACGTAAGCAATTAACCTGTTTTTGCAGGTCATTTTCTATTTTACGGTAATATAAGTTAATAGTAGTACAAGGTTGACGTGTTTAAAAATAATCAAAAGGTTGACGTAATAAAAGCGGACGGCCAAAAGGTTGACTTAATAATTACAAATTTTCCTACTTCTTATGGGGTTTGTCATTAGAAGTTCACATCTCTTAATAGGACGTCATCAATATGTTTATTCTTAAACGTGGCTATTTTCGTGTTCATCATTTTTTTAGTTGTAATTGGTCAACCTTGATATAAGAGTATAATTTATTTACCTCTTCTATGGTTTAAAAAGAAAATCCCGAGAAATTTACTTGGGATGATTGCCTCACAAAAAAAAAAAAAAAAAAAAAAAAAGAGAAATAGAACGAAAAAAAAAGAAATGTCTTTATTAAAAATAATAAAAATAGAGAGTATGATACAAAAAAAAAATATTATTCTCAGAAAAAAATAAAAAGAAAAAAAAGAGAGAGAGAAGATAATGAATGATAAAACCAAGAAAATGATTTAATCATTTCTTGGATTTTACATTTGGAAGCCATCATTCTTTTTAAGCAAATAGTAAAACATTATCCTTTAAAGATGAGAAATATGAGAATCATAATTGAAAAAAAAGTGATATAGATATCTATTGTAATCTAAGTGATCAACAAATACCATAGTATATTTGATCATTTGAAGGAGTATGTTTAGGTTGATTAATATTCCTGAAATTTGATGAGCATTTTCAATCCAAATTTCTTGAATTTCTCGATCTTCTACCTTTTTCGAAAACAATTCATTTAAAGTAAAATCTTTAGATGATTACCTTGTTGAAGTCAACACAAATCATGACATTCAATTAATGATTGTTCGTTAATTTTTTTGACATTCTTCATCAACAAACTTGCTTAAAGTGAATTCGTATTACAAGGATTAAAAAAAGAAATAAAACAATCATTTTAACTTTGGTGATTCATTGTTTGAATGCTTGGCGAAAAAGGTTTAACTGAACGCGCTCAATTCTTGTGACACGCATTACTAGATCATCTTCAACATTTGCATACTAGTCCAATCATGGGTGACAAAGCAGCATTGGAGAAACTTAGAGAGGAACTCCAAAACCTAAAGGCCCTATGAGAAGAAGAAGCCCAAATGAAGGCTTATAAAAAAGCAAAAAAAGCTAAAATAAAAGCAGAAAAAAAGAAGACATTCTACAAGAAAAGGCAAGAGCCGAAAGAGTAGAGGCCTTGGAGAAACTTGTCTTTCGAGCTAACTCAGGGAATAAATACTTCAATTATGAGCTTGCACCACAACCTAGTGGCAAAACTCTCTCAAAAAAGTTCTTAACTACGGATTTGCCAACCGTTATGGTTACAGAGAATCCTAGGACCCACTTAATGAGCTTTATTGGAATTATGGCATTGAAAGGGGTTGAGCCAAGCCTATATGCATGTACTTTTCCTCTTTCATTGGACCCAACTGTTAAATCATGGTTTCAAAACCTCGATGCAAAACAAACTTCCACTTGGAGTGACGTTGTAAAGGCGTTTTTAACCCAATATGGAGATAACAATGAGCTCACAACTACCTTGCGCGATCTCAAATTACTTAAGCAAGGGGAAGAAGAAGGCTTCATTGACTTATTTTCTAGGTGGCGATCAAAGTTTGCTCTTATTCCACAAAGAACTTTGGATCATGAACTTGTCCCAAAGTTCATAGACAATATATCTCCACCATACAATTGCCATTTACAATACCTTGGTTTAGACACATTTCAAAAAGTCTATACTATGGGAATATTAATTGAAAGAGACTTAATAAATGAAACCATGAATCATATAGATGGACTTGATTTTTAGAGAGGATTTCACCTATGTTGGAAACGGACAAAGATCGAAGACGCGATCTCAAGAAGTTGTCAACAATTCAAGTTCTAGCACCCTAGGTCTTGTTTTGTTTTTTCCCTTTGTTTTTTATGTTAGACTAAGAGATTCATGCTGTCGAATCTACTTATTTTGTACTCTCATTAATTAATAGAATAAAAAATATATATTCAAGTATGTCTATCTTGTTCTCTTTTAAATCTCTTTATTGTTATTGGCTCACATTAAATAAAACGTATACATACAATTAGGCAATATCAAAAGGCATACATACTCAACACTTTAAAGAATCTTGATGAGCTTTGGCTTACAAGATGTATTGAATGAAAAGAGGCCCATTTTAGGACCACAAAGAAAGGATATGATGATTTCACCAACACAGGAGGCAACTTGAAACTTCATAAATATAATCCCGTTTCTTCACCTTAGAGAAATTCCATCTTTTTTGGCAGCCCTTTTGAGCCTCATCAATTGAGCCTTAGTTATTAAACCTACATTATTCCATACCTTGGGATGGGAATGGTGCAAAGATACAAATAGGAAATTGGGGGAACGAAACATAAGAGGGGGACACAAAGTTAGTCTAAACCCAAAAGGAAAAATCAAATGCAAAAAAAAAAAAACAAAAAAAAAAAAAATCATTCTATACCCAAAACAAAACATGTTAAAAAAAAAAAAAAGAAAGGAGAGATGACAAGGAAAAGGCACCTAATGTAGGAACTTGCCACACAAAGAAGAAAGGTTTAAATTTGAGAAGCACCAAAAGTAAGGGATTTTGGGAGTATACTTGAGCCTGTCCATTGTTTATAACCCCAAGCCTAGCCACGTTACGACCTTAGAAAGACCCTCCTTGAGGTAGACCATAACCATATACCAAAATCATTATTCCATGAAAATATGGCCAATCTTAGGCCTTAGCACATATGGACCTACTATTAAGTAGTCATGCCCATATATAAAATGCATGAAGTGTCGAGTTATGATTACAAGATCATATAAAAAAAATTTCAAATGATTTGGATGACTTGATAGCCATTGGCTTGATTACATCATGTTAGTAAAGCAATCAATCAAACTAAATCCAATGTTTTCCATATCCTTTGCCAAATTAAATCATCTTATTTTCTTTTAATAATAGGGCTATTTATTACCAAGGTAATTCAGGTTCTATATACATTTCCTAGAATGAAAAAGAGTAAACACAATAAATTGATTTGATATATCGACAGCCTTTACGTCAACTTTAGATGTCTTTTACAACTCTTGAGCATTGGTCTTCTCACTTATCATGAGCAACTAATATGTCCGCCTGCGTGGGATATCTCCATCTTCTCTAAGCGTGGAACATTGATTGAACATGATTGCTACATGAAAAAAAAATGATCATTATCACTATTACACGTATACCTCACTATCAAGTCATCACGATGATTCAAATATTAAGTCAATAATCTTTGCTTTTCGAAAACATGTCTAATTTTCTTTCTTTATTCTTCTATGGGAAAGTTGGATCCCCCTTCCTTTTTAAACAAATCCGTCTTTTTTGTTCATTTCTTTTTTAGTGGGTAAGTCGGGATGATCCCTCCCATTTGGCAACTAAAATACTCGTAAATAGTATAATTTTTCAGCTCTTTGCCTCAAATTGGGGCTTAAAAAAGCCAGGACATCCTTACTTCTCCCTATTTATAGATTTGAATACGCTATTTATGCTGCGAAATCAATGTCATGCAAAGCTTATTACGAACCATCTTAATAACTTTAAATGACAAAGGGAAGAATATCACTTCCTATTATTTGACCAAGATAATTAATTATGTTACTTGATCAAACAATTTATGATAAACATATGCAATATTCCGCAAATTGAAAATACAAATCTTAGGGCCTTAAATAAACATGAGAAACATCTCCTAGCATATATATACATGCATTCCAAAAGTCACCTAAGTCTACACTTAGGGGCTTCAAATTAAAAAATATAAGTCTCACCTTAACTTTTATTTTAAAATGAGACTATATTTTGGAATGTGATTAGAACAATTTTATAAATTATTGTAACACTCCACCAAACCTAAGTTTGATAAACATTCATTTTCAGACTATGGTGCTTATTTAATTGGAAGAACTTCACTTTCAATTAGCAAAATATGACAATGCTTACAAACACTAAAAAGTAGAACATCAACAAAATTAGATATAAAAAAGTTTGCTCACATTTTCATATCTTCGTTGAAATAAGTTGTGAATTACAACTTACCTTCATCAATCTTGGACAAAAAAGTCACACTCAATTACGAGCTAGACTTTTCTTTCCATTTTGGCTCCAGTTTTGAAAATAATATGATTATGATTTTTGCCTACCAGAAAAAGTTGCTTTTCAAAACAAACTATTGGACCCTTTTCAAATTTTGAATTCTTATTCAAAACAACACGTTTCTAATAAAAATAGTATTCAAAATTTCCTTTCGGAAATTTTGTTTTCTAAAAATAAATAAATTTCAAGATTCTCAATAACCATTTGGATAATACATGTATATACATCAATATTTCCAAAAGGAATCAATTAAGATTCGACTTCTTCTTGACTCGAACTTGTTCTTGCTTATTGACTAAGGGATGATAAACGAACCACCTACAAGACCAAAATCAAAGATTGACAAGAACAAATAAAATATTTGATGTTCTAAATCAACTTTCAAGAATAAAATCACCGCAATGATCTTTAAAAACGTTTAGACATTAGGTAAGATTACTAAACCTTAAACACAATTGTTTTTGGTCTATAAACAAGCAAAAAACTAACTTGCTTTCTTGAAAATAACATTAACTAAAATGTGAAAGCAATATCACCGTCCTAAATATTTCAAAAACAAAAATAGGATATATACATAGGTCTATCTCAATATCATATGAATGGCCTAAACAATAGCAAGTCATTAGAATTTACCCCAAATTGGGGGGCTCCAAGACTTTCGAAATAGCAAGAATGCGCATAACCCGACACATGGGGGCTCCAATACCAACAAAAAAAAAACAAAATGAGATATTCATGCCATTAAAGCTACTTTCGAGAATCGCCTAAACTACAAATGGTT